CCCCGTTACTCGCCTCGCGCCTATTGAGGAATATTGGAATTATGAATTCTTGCGATGTGCTATAAATCGAATAGACGACACTGTGGAATTTAGTGACGGTCATTGAGTCGCAAGCCGGGAAACGCACCATCAGGAGTCAACCAGTATAATAGCAGGCGTTTCTCAGCTAGAGGCCCTTATAGTTGCTTTGATATTGACCTTAGAAGAAAAGAGAAATCAATGACCTGCGTGGGAGCACGATGAGTCGCAGACATTAAGTGCAAGATACGGCGTGCCGTTATCCGCTAGCCTGCATCCGAGCCTAGACCAGGCGCGGATTTGAGAGGGCCGCGTTAGAGGAGGCGCAGATCCGAATGTATTCGCAGAAACCGAGTACAGAGACCTTCAAAATTCAGCAGAAATGGACGACAAATATGAGTCCTGGTGTTCTGGCAGTCACATACCCATCATTTTGTCGCACGTCTGAAGCATATATCAACCAGTAGAACACACTCCGCCGCCATCGCGGTTACACTGGACACATGATACATTATATGGGAATATATATGTATATATCATATATGTGAGTGTATTATAGACTGATACGTGTTATATGTGTATATGGGTCTAGTATGTTTTTATGAATGTCCAGTGTGTTACGCCGCGATCGGCGGCGGCGTGGGTGCTTTACTGTTTGAATATGCTTCGCGCAAAAGTGCTGGTAGGTCAATTTAACGGTTCTGGTATACCGGACCGTACCAGCCCGGTACGTTCTAGGGGGCAGTACCGGCTGGCGAGACATAAGACCCTATTCTTTAGAGACCGCACCTGGCTGTGAACGAATATATCAGCCCGCAAGTGCATTTAGTGCTATTTACACCGTGCCAACATAAAGTGGTCCTCAAGAAAATACTTATTCTGAAGGCACCTTTTTGTTTGATAATATTTCGACACAATCATGTATGAACCGTTGCTCTTCATAGCTGTGTGCTGCACTTGTGATCTTCGTATTCTTGTATCTGATGCGGAGTCCCTCTGCTCTGTATTTTCACAAGAGAGAGAGTGACAAGAGGCGCTACTGAGATTTGTCTCTTGTGCACTGCCTGCCGAGTACTGCATGTTGTTTTTCGGTGTGACAAGAGTAAATCGCCGCCATAGGCGTGCCGGCCACAAGTAATACGATCCTTTGCTAATGTGGATGTGTGTAGATTCGGATTGCGAAGAGATGAGAGAGACTGAACATATGTCGATTATGCTATGTTAGCGAGAGACACGCGAGACATATCAGTGGACATATATCCAGTGAATGATTAGACTAATAGTATAGAATGTTGAGACTTTTTGAGCCACGCTTGCAGCAGGGACCGACATCCAAATAACACATCGCGCTGCCTCTGTTGACTAGTGAAGGATGTTTTTAAACCAAATAATAGCTTCATATTTGAAATTTTGCCGACCCGAATAGAGAGAGAGGAGTGTAAGTGCGGACTCAGACGCTTGGATTGTAATTACCACATAGTTCACATTTGAAAAGATTGTTTCAGTGAGGTGAATTGTTTCATTTGAAGAGATGTATGGCATACGGTAACGGTCCAGTGCGATACACGGACGTCCAATGTCGATTGAAAGAGCTCGACGTGCAGAGACGGGTTCTTGTTGGTGCTAGTGACTATAACTTATATCGAGTGGCGCAAGGCTCGATAATTAATGCGAACAACATGAGAGATCGATACGAATTAATGAATTAGTCTGTAAGTTTCGTGTCAGCAAGCATAGTCGATAGCGTAGAAGCCGGAGAGACTGTGAGCACTGGCACGATTGGAGTGAGGACAAAGATTAGTTTGGTGGAGGACGCGGCACGCAATTCAAGGCTGAAAGGTCGGTGGATCGAATCCCATCCATTTTATAATTATTTTTCTGTTTTCTGTATTTTTTTATCTTTATCCGCTTAACCATTTTTTCCCAATTAACGCAAATATATACATGATTTAGGCCTATTTACAACAATTTAATAACAACAATTAATTTTTACAATTAAAATTTTATTTTTTATATATTTTTTTAAATAGGGTTAGGGTTAGGGTTGGGGTTGGGGTTAGGTTTAGGGTTAGTGTTAGGGTTAGGGTTAGGGTCACAATGCAGTGAATGCACCATAAAACAGGAGTTTGAGGCATGTGATTTGTATCAACCAATGGCAGCGCTCACTAGAGCCCTATGTTCTCGATTGACCTAGGAAAAAAAATTACGAGTACGGCAGTCCATTCGCTTTCATACTTAACGAGACAAAGATGGCGGCGGTGGCGCCAGATTTCGAAATAACGCCTTGGGAAATAAATTCACGATTTGAGAGTTTAGTCTTTAGATGAGCTAGAACCCTAACCCTAAACCTAACCCTAACCCTAACGCCAAAATGGGGCTTCAACGAACGACGGCTGCCGTACCTCCAGCCACTGCGTAAAACTTATGATGTGAGATCGCGAATCTGCAAATTGGGACTTTGGTAGTGTATATACAATTTGTGTTATATAGCATCATTTTATTATTGGAACAACCCACGTGACTATGGTAACGGTATATATGCTATCATAGTGCAGGGTGCGAAATTAACGCGAGTCCGGAGTCAAATACCGGTACTCCCTGATTTACTGTCCGACGGACTCCTTGATTTGACATATGGAGGAGTCCGTGTGACTCCCTGAAAATTCTGCTATACTAACTAGTTCGTTCTAGAGCACGGCCTCGCGGAATTGCCGTATTTTTTTCAGCAAATGTCCAAAGACAATTTGGCATACGTGCAACCGCATGAATCTTCAAAATAAGCACACACGTTATTGTTAATATCTTTAGTGTTGAACTTCAGACTGCGGACTTCCTTATTTTGCTGCAGACTCCCTCTTTTTGAGCCTGAAGAAGAGTTAGAGCCTTAGAAATGTTAGCAGAGGTCTCAAGTTGGGAAAATCCAAGAAAGGGATCACTTGTGATAATGGTCCATCGCCGTCCTTTCAATATACACTTGGGACGTCTGTGATAGTGTATGTACTGCATAATTGGTATTGTAGTGGAGGCATGGTGGCCCATCCACTGATAAATACTATAACCACAGGCACTTGGATTATTTCCAATTTTCAGTAATAAAATTATAGTAAAGAAGTGCCAGTTGTATTTTTCTACCAATGTTTTTGTGCTTTCTGTCACCTAATAATTCCACATAAATGCTTCATGGAAGCCACTCTGAGCAAACTCACAGAAGATATTATGTCTAGAGAAATCGTGGAACCAGCTGTTAGTTAAACCCCTTGCTGGGGCAGTGAATTTTCTCAATATATAAAAAGCTGGCTCTCACTAGCATTAGGGGCTTTTAATTTATCCTGGCTCTGATGACCACATAAAATAGAGGCTCTTGCTCCCCAGGAATGGAAATGTAATAGAACCAGTGAGAACGTAAAACGCTGGGCATAAGTACCCTACCCTCGCTGTCTGGAAGAGGTTGAAGTGCGAGGGTGGTGGTGTGGTGAGGTGGAGGGTGGTTGGTGGTTGGAGTGTAAAGTTCAAGGACGTGCTAGAGTAACCATACAGCTAGTCTGTTGTATAAAACCATGAAGGTAGCATTCGTGCAAATCTGCCATTTATAATCAAAAGTCACCGTGTGTTTTCTTAGTCTTGCTTTTGGGCTTTTAGGAATGGCAACTCTAGAAGAACAGAGAAAAGATGACTTCATCGATGAACAGATGAAAGACCCCAACGATGAACAGATGAAAGACCCCAACGATGAACAGCCTCAACAGGAATCATCTGCTGAATGCACTGACCAAACCCTTTCGCACCAAGATGCAATGGCAAATGTGAAAGAGGGTCTGGAAGCACTGCTTAGTGACCCACTTATGTGCGACCTTCCGACGGATGTAACTCTGGACGAGGTTAATTCGCAAATTGCGCTCGAATACGGAAGGTCCATGACGGTGAACGTGCGACGCGCTGATGACAAAGTGTACCCCGTCGTCGTCACTCAGGCGGCGACTGTTCGAGATCTGAAAGGCGCCATAACGAGATACGTCGCGCTGAAACTTTCCAGGGACGTGTCCCGGCCGCTTAAACATATTAGTTGGCGGTACGTGTGGAGGACGTACTGGTTGACCTTCGAAGGACAGAAATTAAATGATGACAAGAAGCCACTGAAGGAATATGGCATCAGAAATAGAGATGAGCTGACGTTTATTAAGCGATTGCGGCAGCGTTGATTGTTTCAGAGATGTTGAACTGTGCTTGCAGTCTGGTACGTTGCCATATAACATCAAGAGTACATAATAGGAGATTCCTCCTTTTAATTATAATCTCCTATTATGTACTCTTGATAACATGTAATGAAAGCTTGATAGGTGTGCTGATATTTAGTTATCAAAAATACTATGGCAATGCTGTTTTCAAAATTATATACCAAGTCCAATGCAATGAGAGCCAGTTAATTTACTCACGACTACGAGGTAGGGAGAAATGAAGACATTTTTAGTAGGAAGTGAGTGCAGTATGTGATTATGCTTTGTATATAAACTAACTTTTTTTAATTTGAACATATGTATTATATTATATATTACATTATTTTTATACACATTTAATTCAATCGTTATCGTTTCGTTTCTAACGTTTATGATCCTTGTATCGCAAACAGATAAATACCTGAAGGTAGTCAGTGTCAAGGTTTCAAATTATACAACATAAAAGGAACCAAATTTAATTTTATAACAATCATGCTTTCTATTGCTGAGTAAAGTCCACAAACGATGTACATACATGAATGAGCTACAGCCTTACTACATAATCGTTATGTATTCCACATCTTTTAACCCTGTTTGACAGTGCTTAAGATATGTTAGTGAACTAATCGATGGCAATTACAATTCACAAATCTCTATCCACCCCTACATTGCATTAGAGTATAGCAATTAATTACATACACAAGCTATTGCAGCTTCAAATGATTTTACTTTGCGGTGTCAAATCTACATATGTATATATATGCGTATAGGTGGAACATCTTATCTATATGCCAAGTGCCTTTGGCATGCAGTCTGCTATGGTTTAGCAAAATTACTTCTGGCACTCCAAACTACTAGCGCTTAATGCTACACATAAATTCAGACTATTAAATGTCACGTTTCTATGGGCAGCTGGTCCGAGTTCACTGACCAATTTATTTTGAAGTATTGTCTGTCTATACAATGCTCTGCAACATTAATCCTACATTTACTAAAACAACACCTGCAACATTCTGCAATCGGAAATATGCATTACATGTAATATAGAGCACCAAAGTTTTCAGTGCAAAAGCTACACGAATGTACTCATCTATTAAACATTAATTCAACAAGTCTTACACATCGGTGAGCTCTCTCTATATATAAATAAATGTGTGTAACTGTTGTGGAACAGTTATTAGTAAATGCTACAACAATAGCATATTGTTTACTGTATATACAGTGTAGGCAAACATAACAAGCTATCCGTAGATATAGCAACACAAAATTCAACAAGATACTAGATTATTGATAACGCAGAGAGCAAAATTTCATCTCCCTGCAGAAATTATACACACCAATACAAATAAGATTGGCATGATCATTTTTCTTTGCAAAACACAACAAACAACAAGTCACGCCTTTGCATAAATCGTGCCTACTATGGCACTGTATAGTCATATAGCTATATAGATAACCATATTCTATATAATCATCCCACTTGAAAACAAAACTTGCCCTATAACTTTAAAATACTGTGTGGGGCTGGTTACTCACATATAACAGCCAAAATGATAGATTTGTGTAATACTAGGACAAACATGGCACTCTTTCTATGGCAAACGTCACCAATTACGACAAGATCATGCGAGAGGGACATTTCAACATCTACACAAACTTACAACCTCATGGTTGTGGATAAACAAATAGAACTTACTTACGAGTCAGTGTCATCTGCTTCTGTTAAGCAGATGGTGGGACAACTCTGGAATCAATATAGGCACATTCTGAGATTTTGATTAAAACATTGGCAAAGAAACTTGGAAAAATGGGGGGGGGGACAAAAATGGAAGGAGATAAGTTGTTAACAATAGATAAAAGCTAAATAAATTCAAACAAGTATGTGAATGATGCGGTAGACATTTTAACGTTAGCCACTTTAAACGTAGGTTGTGATGATGGTACCACTATTATTGTAAAAGAACTGAAGTGTAAAGCTCCATAGAATCAAGCGATGGCAAAATAAAGCTAATATTGTCCCAGCACTGAATTAAAGTACTTAATAATCAATAAGTGATACCAAAACCACAAATAACTGCCGAGGGCTGGTTAAACGCACAAACATATTCATGCACTTTAGCAACGGTTGCACACGCATATCTTCATATACGTGTGTATATCTATCAGAAATCTGGCACACAGAAATTTGAAAATGGCTTCATACACATGAGTCAGTGCACAAGGTGTGTTACACTCTGTAATTTGTAAAGCTCGTGTTACACTGTCTGATGCTGCATACCGCCTGTGCTGGGTGATACTCCATTAGATGTTCCCAACTTACATTACATTATGCTTATAATAAACATATATATATATTCATACTAAATAGTTTGTTAATCATTAGTTAGGGGGATTAGGGTTAGGGTTAGCGTTAGCGTATGGGTTAGTATATCAATCACTTAATCATAATATATCCAAATGGCGAAACACTCCTAAGTGAGCGTACCTCTGCCTCAAGTGGACAGGTCAGCAGCAAGAGCTGTGCTAGAAGAGAAGATCACAATAGAACCAATGCCTTTGCCATAAGGTACGTACGTAGCAGCCCTCATCTATACACTACATGATGGCACAACACTGCTCACCTGTTGGTACAGTATACAACACAGCTCACCTCCTCTGACAGTCAACAACACAGCTCACCTTCCTTGCTGACAGTACTACAACAGTCTCACCTGTTGGACAGTTATACAACATGCCTACCTGTTGCTGACAGTAATAGAACCACTCTCACATGTTTGTGACAGTATACAAACATGCCCTCAACCTGTTTATGACAGAACTAAACAACCTCACCTGTCGCGACAGTATACAACAGTCTACCTGTGTGACAGTATACCAACACAGCTCACCGTTTGTGACAGTACTACACATGTCTCACCTGTTCCGTACAATACAACATGTCTCACCTTCTGTGAACAGTACTACAACACACCTCACCGGTTGGGACAGATAACAGTCCACCTGCTTGGGACATATAAAACAGTCTCACCGTGTGTGACATATACAAACACGCTCATCGTTTGTGACAGGCTAATAGAACACGCCTCACCTGTTTGTGACAGTATACAACCAACACGTCACCTGTGTAACATGTATACCACAGCCTCACCTGTTTGTGACAAGAAGCTCTACCTTTTCTGTAACAGTATACAACAGTCTCACCTGTTTGTGACAGTATACAACATGTCACCGTTTGTGACGGCTATACAACACACCTCCAACGTGCGTGACAGTATAACAACAGCCTCACTGCTTGTGACATTATAACAACATGCCTCACCTGTTTTTCTTGCTCTGACAGCTATACACACACCTCACTGTTGTACAGTATACAAACCAGCCCCTCACCTGTTGTACAGTATACAAACATCACCCTCACCTGTTTCTGGCTGAACACTGTGCACTACAAACATGCCTCACCGTTTTGTGACAGGTAACAACACGCTCTCACCGTTGTACAGCATACAACATCCGCACCTGTTTGTGCACAGTAAACATGTCTCACCTGTTGTGACAGTATACACACATGTTTCACATGTGGACAGTATACAACATCGCCTCACCGTTTGGCTGACAGTATACACAGCTCACCTGTTTGTGGACATAAACATGTCTCACCGTTGTGACAGTATACAACAGGTCTCATTCGTTTGCTGACAGAACAACACCCTCACCTGCTTTGGGCAGGTATTACAACAGCCTCACCTTTTGTGACAGATACAACACCCTCACCTCTTGGCACAGATATCACACACCCTCACCGTTCAGACAGCAACAAACACTCCCTCAACCTGTTTCCGCTGACATAACAACATGCCTCACCTGTTGCTGTACAGTATACAACATTCCTCACCTTTTGCGCTGACAGTAACAACACACCCACCTTGGACATATACAACATGCCTCACCTGTTTGGTGACAGCATACAACACGTTTTACCCACTCTACTGCCGCAATTACTATAACCTACACCCACACCCACACACACACACACGTACACACGCACATTGATTCATATATACAGAAACATTACTTGATATATATTTATAATATCTACATATTTATAAAGCTAAGACGTGTTCTTATTGCTATAAACAATATTAACACCGTAGCAGACATTGTTATTATCAGAAGTAAATTATTATAATTGACCTATACACCCAAGCAAGTCAGCCACTTTCCCATTTAATATTGTTAGATATTGTTGGAAAATCAAGCCCACTCACTTTGTATTTACACACACATTTGTGCACGCCAAGACGTCAACTTTGTGCCACGTTGTTATAAATATTATCTTCAGCACAGCCGATTGAAATACTGATTAGCTAAACCCGCCTTTCATAGACACCAGGGGGATAAGTCAATTTCAATTAATTATCGAATTCTGTTAATATCAATGTACTTGTTCTATGCACGACACTTGTTACTAGGAACGTATAAGCGTTGCACTACCAAATACCTACAAGCCACATTACTTGTAACTACTATTACCTTCACAGCACTTATAAACATGGGCGTATTGCAGAATCTAATTCTTGTCACAGGACGCTCATTCCTATTTCGAAAGAACAAAACAAGCCGTACTTTTCTATAGCAGGGCTAAAATCCGGGATGGGATGCATTCCCGCCTCTTTGAATGAGGGGGATGCCTCCTACACTATCATCCCCCAGATCAAAAAAAGAGAAAAAAAATAGCCAAAAAGTATGTTGCAAACATAGCAAAAAAAAACGACAATCTGCTGAGAAATTGCAATTCTACCTGTTAATTACATGTATTATACATTAGTAACCTAAACTTGTACGCTCCTCTGAAAATTCATGGAAAGGTTTGAATCCTAATTGTAGCGGTTGAGTCTAGGCGTTGACGATAGTGCACAGACATGAGAATAGGCCCACAGTATGCCTCAATTGCAGAAAATGGCTTAAAATAATTCAAAAATTTCGGCGGGCATGCCCCAGACCCGCCTAGCACCTGGCATGCCTACGGTCACCGCCGGCCGACTGCCTGCCGCAGCCAAGGTTAGTTTGCCCCCGCTATCGCGATCATCCCCCACCCCGCCCCCCCACTCAGTGATAGTCCGCATATGCTCGTTCCCTCCCTTGAAACACCACCTCATCTCAGGACGCCAAAAATTCTCAACCCCCTTTCTCGGCTTTTGCGGTTCCGCCCTTGGAAGATACCCCCTAAACCGCGAACAGCTACGTAATTAGACTTGTAACCCTCGCCACCTTCACTCCGGACGTATCCTTCGCGACATGACGTCATGACGTTAGGTAGCGGTGAACAGTCGACCGCGCTACCAGTCTACACTACGGAGTGCCGAGCTTCAGTGAGCGAGGGAACAGGGAGCAATATATTATTTTCAAATAAAAAACCGCAATGACTGCCAAAACTAGCAGAAATCAGCCCGAATTTGATCCGATTAATAAACGTTGTCTGATGATATTCAAGATAAAGAGAGAGAGGAAAAACACCCCCCTTTAAAAAAAACCCGGCGCTGAAAAGCAAATACACCCCCTTTTACAATTCTTGCCGGCGATTTTTCCGCGAAAATACCCCTTTACATGGCAGATTTGAACGCGCATGCGGTCTTCGACCCGACTGGGGTCCCGGGGTCGTCGGGCTGCGCCCGGGCCGGCGCGCGGCGGACCGGGCCGGACCGGGGCGCTGACGCTGGGGGCGTCCGGGCCCCACTCTCGGTACGGATGTTACGCCCGCACTATAGTAGCTCCTACAACGTAACAGTTGTTAGGATTGTCTCTTTGTATGGATGTGCGATACACACGAGCTGCACAGAGTATAACAATAATACACACAGTGCCTAAATACACATTGAGCCACCGTTAATATAACAGGAATACTCCATTAGGAGTTCTCCCCAACTTTTAATTTAAATGGTCATAATACATCATTATATACCTATATATATATATATGATATATGGTCATGCGTCATTATATTCTTTGGTTTAATGTCATTAGGTAGGGTAGCGTTAGGCGTTACGGCTTTAGGATTATCAATTCAATAATCATTATCATAATCATAAGCCATTAATGATATCAAAGTCGGGAACACTCCTAATGGAGCGTTAGCAAATATAACGCATTACAGATCAGGTATGACACAGAGATTGCATGTTGCATGTGTGTGACTATGCATATCAGAAAACCAACGTGGCAATATACATTTTTTAGCATGCAAAGTGTTCTTCCACATTTACATGTATTCATATATAAGCATTACCAGTTAGCCTGTACGCGAGCTGGCAAGTGCGCACGCGCGCACACACAAATATCACCAGTACTGCAGTGCACACTAGAATGGACAGATCTAGACCAGCCTGTGCTTCACGAACGAACACGCACAACATGCAACTACTCACCTCCTACGATGCACACACACAATAGTAAGACATCTATTCAACGGCCTACAGGGCAATTCAACTGTCATATATGTTAGCATCGTGCTAGTTTTCCTCTTATTAGTATATAATATATCATAATACAGGCTCCAACTCTCACGGTCATTGACCGGTCTGAGATCAGCATTTTGACCAAATCTCACGCCTCACGCTATCTATACAATATCTCACCCACAGCAAAAAAGATGCTAGCCAATAGCCATCGCATAAAACTCTGCATGAACTAAAAACGCTAAAATATCTCACACAGCCCAAAAAAAATCTTACAATATCTGAAAACAGCATTTAGATTGCACCAAATTGGCCACAAATTGGATGCTATTCCACACCACCCCCCGCTCGGCGCCTTCGCCGCCCTCCATCTCACTCTCACCTATCACCAATGTTGGCCAGCCCTGATATATATATATATATATCATATACACAACAGAATTTTGCACATTTTATCAAGAGCGTATAAAGAAGGAGAGCGTACAACGATGAAATGCTGAAACCATGTTGCAGTATTAGTTGAATTAAGAAACTTTGCCAGGTAGGACAGCTGATCAATAATACTGCAAAGAATCGTCAAAATAAAACGGGGAGTTTATTAATTCAAATAATACTGTACGCTCTCCTTCTTTATACGCTCTTTATTTTATTCATAACTACATCATTAATGATGCACTCACTGAGAACCTCACCCTCAGTATTGAAATTAAAACCGTGGAATAGTCTTAGATGTATTTAACCTTGTCGTTTTACCTGTCAAGCAATCCTGACCCTTGCACTTATCGATAAATTCTTGCGACTGCACTCTAGGCACACACGATCATCTACTCACGCACTCGAAGGCAAGCATGACAGACACAACTCACTAAACGCGTACCACCCTACAGGAATTACATCGATGATGCATGTACATGTACATCTGACTGCATGACCACGGTGTCTGCAGGGAGGACCTTGATGATTTAACAACATGTATATATATACACTACTGGCAACACGTTGCTATGGTTACACATACATGGGTGAATTGACTATCAGCTTTGTAGCAATCCAGGAATCCCTCCCACCAGGAGCCAATGAGGCACGACCTACCTGGCTATGCCTAAATCGCATGAGGACAGGGGTGGTCGATGCAGGGTCCACTCATGCAGAAATGGGGATACATTGAAGATAGCCCAACCGAATGTGACTGCGAGGGGGGCCAGACTATGGGACATCTCCTGGAATGCCCCCTATTACCAGAGCCCTGTAGACCTGGAGACCTTAAGGTTTTCAACCACCGTGTAATGTCCTGTGTGCTGCAGTAGCTAGGCCGAGTGTAGTGTAGTGACCCAAGAAGAAGAAGAAGCAATGGCACTATCCGTGCTCAATAAAATTCCATGTTCAAATGTTAAAACAAGCTGTTTTGCTTACTGTAAAGCCATAATTGGCATAGAGTAATTAAAAAATTGTTCACAAGAACTTCCTGCCCCAAGCATGCTGGAGTTTACCCGGTTACGACTAATCTTCGCTAGTCAGTAGATTGATATTGTCTCAGTTACTTAAGGCTTTCCCTCCACAATTGTGCATCTTCCCAGCAATTACTGATGTACTCTGCAGGATGGTGCAGTTTGCCAGCACTTAGTGAAGTACGCTTGCACAGTGGTGGGTCTTGCCAGCACTTTGTGATGTACTTGGCACAGCGGTGCATTCTGCTAGCACTTAGTGAAGTACGCTGCACAGTGGTAGAACTTGCTAGCAGTTAGTGATGTACTCCGCACGGCGGTGCTTGTTGGAGTGTGGTTCGTTGGAAGAACTTACGCAAACTTGTACACTTCCAGTACTTTACATACAAAGTCCTTTTTTTCGCATAGTGCTGGATTGCCAAACGTATCACACGCCTCTGTTCTTCCACGGTCTAACGTCTGCTCAAAGTACAGGCCGTATCCTCGGCTAGAAAAAACAAGAGCCATTCAAATTCTTGTACTAGAAATATTTCGTCAGAAACAATTGGTCGTTAAATAGAAAAACCCATGTCAATGCAATGAAACCAACGAAACTTCACGATGTAAACATTGCGTGGTGTGGAGAACGAAAGAGAGAGAGGGGAAGAGGGGTGTGTGTGTGAGAGAGGAGGCAAGAGATAGAGAGAGGAAGAGATGGGGGAGAGGAGAGAGAAAGGGAGAAGGTAGAAAATAATAAAGAAATGTGAGTGGAGAGAAACTGATATAAGAGATCGAATGAGAGGAGGGATCAATGACAGGTGGGACAGGGAGATTACCAAGAATACTCATCATCATAGAATCTCACAGATTATACATATTTTTCCTTCATGTTGCATAGCGCTGTTTTGTACTGTATCACTCAGAAATTTTATTACTTTAACTGCTCAACACTATTGCATTTACCAGATTTTTTCTCTATGAAAAAGACTGTCTTCAGTATGTGTATTTGTAATTTGAATTACATGCAGTAAAGATTTAATAATAATAATAATAATAATAATAATAATAATAATAACAATATGCGCTTACCCTCCGCCTACTGTGATCATGGAATGATTGGCAGCCAAAAACATGCTGGTAAGGTTGGTCATTTCTCCGGTCGTGAGCCCCACCCACGAGTACCGCTTTGCGACCGGCCACACACTAAAGAGGAAGCTCTCTCCAGTACCGAAGTATGTGCTTGCTTCGTGTCGCCGCCTGTCTTCCCAGTCCGTGGAGCAGTACGCTCCAAATATCTGTCACGCAAAACAAGATTTTAAATGCCGACTCTTCAACCAATTCAGCCTGAATGCTCACAATGCAGCCGTTAGCACGCGAGAACGTTGTAATTATTGTTACAGTGTAAACTTCCCTTAGAAATAGGGTTGTTATAACAACAACAACAACAACAACACCATCAACGACAACAACAACAACAACAACAACAACAACAACACCATCAATGACAATAATAACAATAACAACAACAACTACTACGTACATGAATGCATGTGCGCATGTACACACATCTACAATTATTTTAATAATAATATAGCATGGAAAGAAGGTCAAAACGCAGTTTTAACAGTGTAGGTACCGCTTCCGTGGGATGGCCACTGTTTAATGTTGCTGGACCACACTGTTTAATGTTGCCGTCACAGACAGAGACAGTGCAGGATTGACACTCACCTCATTTGTCGTTGTCTTGATGAGGATCATCGTGGGCTCTTGGCCTGCAACCTTGTCGAAGAAGGTCGTGATACTCGTGCCGTGCTCCTCTGTGGTGAAGATCAACTCGGGTTCGTAGATGGTGATGCGTGGCGGCATCCAGTGCCAAATGAGATGAAGCTAGAAGCAACGTAATGACACACACACTTAGCAGCGCCCATCTCATTTCTCTTACCGTAAGACACAAAGCATGGTTACTTACTGCAGTAGGGTAAACGGAACGACAAAGGTTACAGCAATGCAAGCATAATGTGAAATTCTAAAAACTATTAACCTTATACCATTAATGATTCCAAGAAAGGAAAACATAGTTCTTAACACCCAACTCCAAATAATTAATGTAAAGCATGATGGATTTTAGACAATGTTAAACAATTACAAAAACAAATCAGGTATCGTTAAGGGGGGCTTATGTCGGGCTTGCGAGGCGACTCGACTGGAAGCAACTGGCTGCAATTCACTGCGACTGCAGTGCTTAGGTTGGTCGACTGCGACGCGACTGCCTGCGACTGGCCGCCACTAGTTGCTCGGAATAGAACAGTTGGCAACTGGACGCAACTAGTCACTGCCGATCGCTTCCAGTTGCTTCCAGTCGAGTCGGCTCGCAAGCCCGACATAAGCCCCGCTTTAGGCACAAAAAGTTACACGAGTTACAAAAACTAAAAAGATTTTCGTTGGCAAGGTCACCACTTTGGGTTAGCTTGATAAAAGCTGAAAAGGTTCCCTAACAGTTAGGAAGAGAGAACTAGGCCCATGTATCCCACTTACAATAATACAATCGTTAAATTAACAACTACAACAAGATAAGCATTATAGTAATGTCAACTGCATGTAAACTAAACATGACAGTAATTAATATAAATAATAATAACGGTAATAATATCGTAAACATCACAATAATCTAATATCCAACAATAATAACGACAAAATAATTATTGTCTACAGTAATATGTTATCACTACATGGAACAACTACATTACGTTAACGTCCATAGCAATGTAAACATGACAATAATGCTGGGCATGCAAACATTGTAGGAACACGTGCACATCATAACATTGCAACATGAACATTATGATAATGTTTATACTAATGCAAATATTGCACTATCACCCAAAGCAACATAGATATTCCTTACCGTATGAAATAATTTAAAGATTGCATTAACATGCTACAATTCTTCAGTAACATAATCACTGTGATAACGTCTACAATAACGCAAATATTATATTAACACCTACAGTAATATAAATAATACTCAATTACATAACATTAGTAAACTGAAGTGCTAATTAAATGCTTAAATAAGGAAGCTTTCATTAGGGAAATTACAAATGTGTACCTTTTAACACGTATTAGACAAAATGTATATAATTTATATAAAACAATCAAATATAAGATGCCCCAGGTTCTTCATAAAAAAGAAATTAAAAACTCGTTTAAAACTGCATTAAAAAAATTGGGAGCAGGTTAAAGGGCCTTCATTTTTTTTAGTTACTTTTTTTTTAGTAACATTTGGTCCTACAATAACCAGTTCTGTAGGTGCCAGTCACAGTCAAGCTTGCCATTAGGTAAGGATTTACCGTGTACATCTTACGAATACTATTACTAAATTTCTAAGCAGAAAAACAGAACTCAACCCAAATCGCCAGTTTATAAAACCTGGATACAATCAATGAATGGCTATATAAGGCTATGAAACACATCGGCCCAGGCCCAGGCCCAGGCCCAGGCCCAGGCTCTAAGGATATCAACGCCAGGCACTGGTTGAACAACATGCATGTTTTTGCAAACTCATTACTGTTAAATTGGCCTTGTCGTGAAGCTACACTATCACAAACATATCTATCATGCAGTACAATATACTGTACTACTACTAGTATAGATATTCTCATGATACGCTGCAATAGCTAGACTGCTATACAGAGTCAATACAGAGAAACTGATAGCACTTACCCCACTCTCTCAACCGAGGATATTGACATCAATTTACTAAGAATGATTCTATTCGCAATCGAAGTGCGAATCGCAAGCAGATACCTAAATATGCACAAGCAACGACGACACTTACAGCCACTTCTAAAGAATGTATGTGTGTAGGCGAAGGTGTGGGCCTGCCTGCAGGAATGCATGCAAAATGCTAGGTTATCACCAGATCAAACAACTAATGCCGCCATGATTTATCCTATGATCATACCCATATTGTCCAAACCCCATAGCCACTAAGAAACTATAAAAAAACATCTTTTCCTTAATCTTCCCTTGGATAAATTAAATGAGCAACTATTATTTTATCACGTTGCTAAGCACGGTGTTTTATTTGGTGATAATACCTTTATATAAGTGCATACCGTAGTTAAGTTGTAAAATGTCGTGAGATCGTTCACAGACGTTGAATACGCATTTACAAGTTAACACTCACAGCTACCACAAGACCAATTAACGTAACATCATAAAGGAAAAAATAAACACTGCATATCAGCTATTCTCACGCGTGCTCGTGACCTACTACAATAACGCTGGCTGTACGCTGGCTGTAACTCTAACAATGGTTGATTACTGACATGCAACGGTGAGAACAGAAATCGTCTGCGCACATCCATTCACAAACATCAGTGCTGTGCGCACACACATTCACGGTCTAAAACTTCCGCTACCGAACAGTTTCGTACGTGTTCTGGGTGGAAATTAGTGGGATGCAGCGACAAGAAGAGGCACCTCTGATGACGTACACGTGCACAGCATGGCGACAACTCGGCTTCCTTGGCACGTTTCCAGTGGATTGCTCGAATGCGACCAGCGACATGAGAATGCCTCCATACAGATAAAGTAGGAAGGGGGAATGGAGGACAGGGCAACCTCGACAACTATCGGGGGGCATGCAAGTCACTTACTTGCTCCGACGTCACCACGTTTGATTTGACATAGTTGAGTACAACAAACCCAACAGAGTGCGAGCGTTGGTGCGCGCTCAACTGTGGTGTGTGTGTGGGGGTGAATCCGAATGCAGCAGAGCAAGAGAGAAAAATACAGAGAGTCACATGAAGGAACACGATAGGCAATAAGTCATTCGAATGTCAAGACAACACAAGAATTCACGGGCGTGGATACAGTACGTTACGGCAAGGTGGCTGATAGCCGTATATCGGTTCATCAAAAAAGCTGAAATGGTGTGACTATATGACCATTCACATCATGGCTTCCGTCGAGGTACCTCTTGTGTAGGTACACACCCAAAAGTTTATAATACACGAATGTCATCACTGTTCTCTCTCCCTCGAGTAAGCCAACGTAAACTAATCCATCCGTGAAGAATCTTAAATAGGAGGTGATAGCTTGCATACTATATATATATATATATCAGGAGCTAATAATGACAAAATTTCAAATAACAAAAATTCAATGACAAAATTTGTCATTATTAGCTCCTGATATATATATATAGATTATATGTTATATCTATATATAATATATATATATTATATATATAATACCATATTATATACATATAGTTATTACACTTTCCAACAACTACTTTTTTAAGGATAAAAACCTGAAACATACTGCAGCTTAGTGTGCACGTTTCCCAATAACTAACTACTATTTCACATTCGACGCTACCTACAAAACAGGTAAGCGCAGCAGCGAGCTGCACTAAAGGTACACTCACTATGTAAGGTACCTGACTACAGCAGGTCACCGATACCTGCTCTGAATATAAACAGCTAGCCACATCTGGCTGAATTCAACACAATCTAAGGTAAACCCAAGACTGTATTAGACAGTCTTATGAGTACCTAGCCAATGCATGGGTAATGGCAACGGTGGTTGAGCCTATCAGTGACAGTGACACGATAAAAAACCTGGGGTCCAGCTTGCCACAGACAAAATAGGCAGCTGCTGCTGCCTTACGATATCAAGAGTCACGACTAGCTCTTTATGTAAGGTGATATAAAATTCACATACCCTTACATTGGTGCTAAATCGACCAAAGAAGGTTTAATATTTTTTTGAATGGAGTGAGTAGTATGACAACAAACTCTTCTGCTATAAGCATACCTCCGCTCCCGCATATGTCGACGTCCGTTTAAGAAACAGAAAATCGGGGATTCTCAGTGAAAAAAGCTCGCTCACTAAATTTCGCACGCGGACGGACTTTGAGGACAGCCACCTTCAAAAATAACGCTGCACCTAGATCGATTTCACACCCTTGGGTACTGCACCTATCACACGTTCTACGCCACGATTTTGGGCGGCGTCGGCGATTCGAGTACACACCCCCCTCCCCGAGCACGTCGCTAAATTTTGCCGCAGGAGGATTTCGAAGGTAGCCATCTTTGAAAATTAAGTTGCATTTAGATGGATTTCACGCAACACTTACCCCTTCGGTACTGCATGTATCACATGCTCTACGCCACAAATTCGAAACCCTGGGTATGCGCCAGCAAGCGCGAGTACCCCCGTGTGTGTATTGAGCTGGGTTTACACTGCCAACTTTGAGTTGGCGAATTTCGGAATTGCTGAAGTAGAACATGTTCTAATCTCCAAACTAGCTGCTATCGATCGGTTAGACGTGCAACGTTTACGTTAACACTGCCGATTGTCAGTTGCGAAATTGCGAAGTTGGTACAATTCGGCGATTTGCCAACACAACGTTGGAAGTGTAAACCCAGCTTTACACGTAGTGTCTTACTCCCTTCCCTTATGGTGCTCCCTCCCCGTGTCTTACCTGTCCCGTCAGATGGCCGGCCTTGTTCACCTCGAGGCGGTCGTACGACGGCGACACCTTCATGTTAAGATCGAGCGAGGATCGTCGCTGCATGGCGATCGCGCCGCTGCGCATCGCTCCGATGTGCTGCTTGCTGCGCATCAGCATCTCGTTGCGCAGCAGCATCTTGTTGAGGTCCTTGCGTCGCAGGCCGCGGATGCCGAACGACGTCTGCAACGCGAGAGAAGATACCTATACTATAGTTCTATACTATAACTCTTAGACACTACTAAGACTTACAGTATTAGATGTAGCGACTACCCCAACGCTGTAGACTTACCATATTCAGGTAGCGGGTGAAAAACAAAGTCTGCAACGCGAGAAGGTACCGCCGATGCCGTAGTAAGACTTATTGTGTTAGATGTAGCGACTACCTCGAAGCTGTACTAGACTTACTGTATTAGATAGTTTAGTACAATGTATAGTTTAGTACCTGGATAGTTTTGCACCTATATAGTATTAGTACTAGGGCTGTAACAATCCACCGAAATCGAATCGGATCGAGATTCTCTTCCCTCGATCCGATCCTCGATATTTTTCCCCCGAAATTTTCCATTCCACTTCGATACCACTTTTTTCCTCCAATAGATGGCGGCACTACGCTATATACTGTGCTGAAGGCAGAAAGGTTCGATATGATAGGACTACTAGGCACTTTAATTAAAAAAACAATTTTTAGGGTTAGTTTTTTTTTTTAAGTGCCTAGTAGTCATATCATATCGCACCTATCTGCCGGGTGCATATACTGTGGAGTGTTACCAGAGCATATAAATCACTGATTTATATGCTCTGGTGTTACTCACCAATGCTACTCAGCGACTGTGCAGTGTATATATACTCTCTAGACTCTAGTCTATTCACTCACCATTTAGTATTCATTGGCAATTTCTAATAATTTATTATTGCAAAATAATGAAAATATAAAAAATAAGATAACATTTCAATATTTTGGGAATCGAATATCGAGAACCGGATCGAATCGAGAGGCTTGTGTATCGTTACAGCCCTAATTAGTACCTGTATAGTATTAGTACCTGTATAGTACTGTTACTTTATTATATGTAGCGACTACCGTCGTTGCTCGAGGTAGTACGTCGACGTGGCCGAGGAAGTGTTTATTATTGTATCAGAAAGAGATACGGCTCGTGTTTGCGATGAGACCATGGCAGGGTAGCAGGGTAGACAGACCACAGGAGAATGGGTTGTCAACAGCAGGGTGGGTGGACCACAGCAGGGTGGATGGACCACAGCAGGGTGGATGGACCACAGCAGGGTGGGTGGACCACAGCAGGGTGGGTGGACCACAGCAGGGTGGATGGACCACAGCAGGGTGGATGGACCACAGCAGGGTGGATGGACCACAGCAGGGTGGATGGATCACAGCAGGGTGGGTGGACCACAGCAGGGTGGGTGGACCACAGCAGGGTGGATGGACCACAGCAGGGTGGATGGACCACAGCAGGATGGATGGATCACAGCAGGATGGATGGACCACAGCAGGGTGGGTGGACCACAGCAGGGTGGATGGACCACAGAAGGGTGGATGGACCACAGCAGGGTGGATGGACCACAGCAGGATGGATGGACCACAGCAGGGTGGGTGGAACACAGCAGGGTGGATGGACCACAGCAGGGTGGGTGGACCACAGCTGGGTGGATGGACCACAGAAGGGTGGATGGACCACAGCAGGGTGGGTGAAACACATTCGAACTGACACACTACAGCACAGTAGTAACTAGACAGAGGGCACTCACGGAGAGTGCATACCTCAGCCAGCAACATACGCCATAGGCCATACGACTCACGAACACACGAATAACCCACGATATACCCATGTAACATGTATGTGTTACGAGCTGGCTCGCCGCTCGCTGCTGGCTGCTGCTGACTGCTGCTGGAGCTGGCTGTGGCTGGCTGGCTTGACTCGACGTGCTAATATCGATCGCGCGAACACACTAACACACGAACACACGAACACACTAACACACGAGACCGATCACATAACCTCCTCCAACTCCGTTGGGCGGAGGTAAAAACATACTTTGAGTAGTTTGTCAACGGGCAGCGTGAAGTTGTTGCAAAACTGCGTTATTGCAGTTGCCAAGAGGTTGCCAGAGCTGTCCTCGAACGTTCCCGACATTCGCCGGCCTAAAACAGCAAGCAGACGAACAGTTAAGCTACATCTCACCGTATTGCCATATGAAGATTACATACAGTGTCCAAAGAATAGCCCCCAAGGAGTAGCAGACCCAACAGGTTAGGTGGCATACAAATCTAGCGTCCAGGGCGAGAGTAGTTAAAACTCTTTAAGCAAATCTAATTAACAACTCAAAGCATAAATTGAATATTAAAATATGTGCAAATGTACATTTCGCAGGCAAGGGAACCTTTACTGGTTCAAACAGTTCCTATTAAAACAAGCACAAACGTGTAGCTATGACTAGGACTAGTATAAGTTTAGTTGGTACCTATATTTACTATTTTACATACTGAATTCTCACTAACATCTCAACTATGTTTAAATCACGATTTTCACTGTACACACTATAAAATTATCACCTAGAATTTCACCTACCCCACACAAGTGAATGCTAGCACTACATAGCACTATATTATATAATATATAACATATAATATATTATATTATATAATAACACTACATTATATAAGGCCGAGTCCGGCAAGCAGTCACAAAAAGCCCCAAACACCATCGCAATTAAAGCAAACAAATCTTCTACACACAAACAAAACACCAACGCTTGCTTTCTTCCACCAATCAGCAAACCGTTTAGCTTCGGCAGAAGTGTAAGGTGGCATCCCTGCAACTATGATCACCCAGGTGCGTAATAGAAAGCAAGATCTAGATCACACCATTCTCCTATATATGTATACACACGTATGACATACACGTGTACCATTACTACCTTTTCCACACAAAAGTAAGCTGGGACTAAACTCCATAGAGAACAACGGCTCCATGCTATATGCACCATCTGTTCACAAAATGACAAGTTTAGTGTCAGCCATACGCGCACAACGCATTGTCATTCTCATTCCATGCTTATAACTTTTTCTCGTAATTATCTAACGACAACAAAATGTATTAATGAACTATCATTAATAATTAGCAACATCAGTAATTATGCTCGCAGTGAATTTTTACGACTTAAAAATGCACGCGCATACAAACAAACGAACTCGAATGTGACCATCGACGAAAGGGTTTGAGCCCGACCACAACGGAAGGCAAATACTCACTCAAAGAGAATCCCCTCATGACTGTTATGTTACAGAGCACCACCGTGAGACGGAAAACTAAATACACGTTCTTCTCGCGCGAGAGACTAAAGTTATATGTCCGCTCCACAATAAAGCACACCAGAACGATCCCCTCATATTATAGGGGTAGACAGGTATACGACACAAGGCGGCGAGATCCGGTAGCAATACCAAATGATAACGACAATAAACTACTAGCTTATGCTAGGGGCACACGAGCGATTTTTATCGCCCGATCGCGGCGATTAAAATTGCCAGCGAATTTAATCGCCCGATCACGAAGGGGCACACGTAGCGATTTTTATCGCCCGATCACGAAGGGGCACACGTGACGTAGCGAATTTGAGAGCGTACGCGTAGGCCACTCGACAGAACATTTAACATCACATGATATCAACAACACGTCCGATTGGTTTAGAAAAATCGATCGGGCGACAAAATACGCCGGTCACGGGCACACGAGCGATAATAATCGCCCGGCGTAAATAATCGCCCGAAAATATCTAACATTTTGGATACGGGCGATTCGGTCGGCCGATTAAAATCGGCGTCGACGTGAACGGGCACACGGGCGATTTCTTCGAGCGATTTCAAAATTCGCGGCGATCGGGCGATAAAAATCGCTCGTGTGCCCCTACCATTAGATGTGTCCTTGGGTTCGTGACGATATCTCTTACAAACAGAAGAAGATGGAATCTGTTGACGTAGAAAAGGCGATCACAACGTAAACGGACAGCAGGCAGGGGAGGGGGGCAAGACAAACAACAAGACTAATATATCAATAACGCCAGTTGATATGCGCAAGTTCACTACGCAGGTTTCCCCCAGAAACGCACTTGGTACCAGCAGCTCACCATAGAATGTAACGTATAGACAACTGTGTGGATTCGCGGAATGCGTTATCAGAAGTCACCACAAATCCGCCCAGACCAGCCACGACGACACAACGTTGACACAACGTTAACGTCACAACAGCTGGATTTACACTACGGAAAAATCGTCGAGGTGATAGGTGTTTCTGCGTTCTTAGCCAACCTCTGTATCAGATGTTTGTATCAGAAGCTTTTACGTTATCGACAGCGAGCCGGTAAACGTTTCGTCATTTGACCCACAGTGTGCGCGTGGGCGACGTGGATACGCATTTTTTCATGTATTAATTCGACCCAACATGGCGCCGATAGCAAAACCGCTCTCCTCCTAGGCAAAGAGCTTATATAATGATAATCATTATAAGCTCTTTGTCCTAGGTGGAGGGACACACCTCGTGATTGCTGTTCTCTGAGTGGCCGCATGGCAAAAACATGGACAATTCGCCAACACCGAGTTGAGAAAATAGAACAGGTTCTAATCTCCCAACTAGTTGCTATTAACCAGTTGCGCGCGCGACTTTTACGTTTACAATGCAAATTAATCGTCGGTTGTATAATTGCGAAATTGGTCCAATTTGCCAGCATGAAGTCGGTAGTGTAAACCCAGTACTCATATAGCGCCACCAGGGTTCATAGTAGTAAGACACATGTTGAAATAAGGACTTATAAGACCCTTTCTGGAGGCCAAAATAAGACTTTTTTACGCGATTTCTGTTAGATCACTGACTATTAAAGTACACTAATAATATTTATATACACAATTGCACAGCAGATTTAATTATTCCGTATTATATATACAACAATTCTTACTCTAAGTCGAGAACAGTTTATAAAAATATGGACCATTAAGTACTTTTCTAAGATTTAACCAAAAATAAGTACTAATAAGGGCCCTTATTTTATTTTTGGCAAAATAAGTACTTACAAGACTTTGGAAGACCCGCTACGAACCCTGGTGGGTCACGCATCCTAGTATCGCGCGCGATAGTAACTAACCCGTTCCAGCGTGCGTGGGTGGGTGCGTGCGTGCGTACGTGGGTGGGTGCGTGCATGGGTGGGTGCGTGAGTGCGTGCGTGCGTGGGTGGGTGCGTGAGTGCGTGCGTGCGTGCGTGGGTACGTGCGTGGGTGCGTGCAGCCTTTGATTGTTACTTTGTTGTGCAGTGACTGTGTGATTGGTCCAAGCATCAAAATGCCGAAATCGATTCGATACGCTGCCAATACGAATAACATTAATATCTGTGCTCCTTAGCTGCCAGTGCTTCCTTACCGCACCGTGCATTTTATAGTTACTTCACGATTAAATATCCTATGAATGACTGACTACCCCCTGGGACTACCCATAGTTTTTAGTCACCTGATGATAGTCGATAAGCAAATATTGTGGTTTATTAAGTAGATAAGCCTAAGATATAAGTCGAGTAACTTTATCATAATGCGCACAACCGTGTTTTTTTAATGATGACACATGGCTATCTATCATATCAGGAGTCTATCAATATATAATGATAGACTCCTGATCATAGCCAAGGTTATTAGCCGTAGGCCCATATTACCGGCAGTAGCACAGCATGCCACGACAGAAGGGTTCGAGCGTCTAGACGTCTTTTTCTACATATACGCAGTTAATAGGGGTACCGCTCAAACGGCTAAATATAATGCTGAAATCTTTTGTAATTTATAAAATCAACCCTAACAGGAATTCAGTAATCCTATAAATGCTCCTATGATCACAAATGAGGTTGCTGGTGAAATCGTACCACTGTGGTAAGTTCATGCGTCTCTATTAAGTAGGGTTTATATAAAACTATGCAGGGGAGGAAGCATTTGACGTTGTGCATTTTACGTAGACTACAGCACAGACTATGCAAGAATTTGTTGCAATATTCAAAGAGCCTAATTAAAACCCTGGTAACTATCTGATATGGTTAGGGTTAGGGTTAGGGAGTAGGCATAGGCGACTCCCTAGACTCGTTAGTGGAGTAGGCGAGGTACGGTCCGGCATATTAGATAGTACCAGGGTACGTTCCGATATATCGAACCGTACCCAGGGTACCCTGCGATAGTACCCTGGGGGACCTGGACCCTCTCAGCCTTACTGACAGTCGATTCATCATGTATATCTTCAGCTAGTCACACAATTATGGAAACGATCCAAAGTCAGCATTGCCAAACTCTTCTTGTTGCCACACCAGAGCTAGAGTGCATAGTTTATTATCCCTGATAAAGCGTTAGCGCCAGTCACAACTACAACCCCTTTATGTAGAAAGAAGTAACATGATCAAAAACAAGTCCAAAACAAATTTACATCGAATGAAAGGTCAATGCCACTTAGTTATCATCTATTTGTGCCATATGCTGTGCAACAGCCAATGAAACATTCTTTGCACCCTGACAAGTTGCTGTGCCTTTTCTTGCACCAATTAATCAGATAAACGTCAGATTATGTATGTAGCCTGTTTTTAAATGAAGAAACCTGGATAAAAATTTAATGTTCCGGCTACAGTAATCAGGTCTTGCGTTTCACTTAGTCCTAGACTCCTAGCATGTCACTTCAAAAACTACAAAATGATTATTAATTGCTTTTTACAGCAACAATAAAAGTACTTAATAGAGGATAGAGAGGTATCGATGTGTGCACGCACGTGCACGTGTGCGTGCGTATACGTATGCTGGTCTGTGTGTGTGTGTGAGCATGTGCGCATGCGGGTGTGCATTACTCCCTTTGTGATTCTATAATTTGCTATAGTTTTTTTGCGGACGGGGTAACTGTAATGCCATTAGCAACTCTCCGTGAAAAGCCTTGTAGTTGTAGTCACCAACAAAGAGCAGTGACACCTGGTGTGTACAAAATAAACAAAGCATGCATCAGTGAATTTTAACCATTATGCCATAGTTAATTTAAACACACGTCATTAATAGGCTTCATATGCGAATATTTTACACTTACTCTTGATGTATAAAATGCAAATCGCCATCGCTACTCGGTATAAGATCTTTGTGCCTTCACACAAATACACGTCCATTATTCGCACCTGAAAAGAAATAATTAAAAAAAGGAATTAAGCAGTTAGACAAAGTGACATGTGTGATAGAACAAACAGAAAATACTGGTTGAATGATAAATTTTGAAAGGCTGAGTGGTCAAGGCATATACCAAGCACATATAGTAAAACCCATGTACCCAAAAAACAAACAAATTCATCTTAGGTATGCCTATCAAATTCTGATTAGTCTTTAAACTTAACAAAGGGCGGATTTCATATAGGACAAAAAGTCTTAATGTTGTCTCGAAAAGACTGAGGTTCCAGTGAAAATAGCTATTTGAGGAAATTAGGCTATTAGAAGCCATTTAGGTGGCAGGTTCATTCTAGCACAAAAAATCATAATCACAATTCTTGAATGGGCTTCTTGCTTTGGTGGTAACCACAGCATTTACATTACACGTTGAACATAATCAATAAGTCAATATTTCTCATGCTGCTCAATTATACTTATTACAGTTCATGAATGTGAATGATGCGGCCCTATGCACCACCGGGCGCGAAGTGGATAGGTAACAGGTAATGTCAATGTGGTGTAGGCAGTTCCAAAAGTGGAAACGTGTAATTAGGAATAATCGTAGTGATTCCTACCATGTAAGAAAATGGCAAGTCCTTGAACATCCACCACAGCCAGCCATCAAGCCCATTGCTTAGTGTATCCGGATTATTCTTGCATATCCTAAGTAATTGCTTGTACGTGCTAGTCTGTAATCAAATCGATTAGCAAAATCATTATAGTGGCTTATGTAGAAAACAAAAAACCAACTAAATCCATCGATGGCCAATGTAGCCTATTGTAAAATGAGAACACATTACTGCATAACTTACAATATGTTAGAACAAACCTTAAGACACAGCCGTGACTAAATGTGACAAACACAAAACCAACAGCAAATTGACACGTCGGGAAGGAGAGAAACAACCTTATGCTTTTACATTGAAGTTATCTGAACTCAGCAGTAGTTAACATAAACACATAAAATTACGAAATAAACAAAAAACAAAGAAATAAAATGAGAAGCCTCTAAAGATAATACCTATGCTATCGATTGGCAGCACAAGTATAGCACTTGCAGCACAGGCTAAATCTGATTTTGTAAAATGCACGCGTTAACGCATGACAACACAGTGTGTTGAGTCGGTGCATTGAAACGCACTAGGATGTCGTGAACATGGAAGACTACATACCGCATTCTTCTTGAGCATGGTAATGAGAGTCATCTTAGCTGACTCATACGCCATCTTGGTTTGTGTGATTCGGCGACCATGCTTCGCCTTCAGCAAGGTCATCATGCCTAAAACATAGCAAACAACAATTTGTGAAAAAGTGTACATCCTAAAAATATTTCAAAACTGCTGGCAATCTACTCTAATGAGATTTACAGTGACAATTACAGTGATTTCCCACAAATTTTTATGATACAAAGCTGTTTTGAAGTACTAGTATGGTACTTCTCCCGCACTGCCCCCCCCCTCCTACGCAAGACATGGGATGAAGCCAGATTGCTTTTCATTATCGATAAATCGAATTCCTTTATTACTGTTTCATTATTCTTTCAGCTGCACGTGGGAAAAAATACCCTGGGCTGTGTCTACGTGACGCAAAACTAGGAGTTTCAAGCATGGAGTTCTAAAACACAGGTTATTTGATAAAACCAAGGTAGAACACAGGCACGTTAACCTCCTGCAGTTAACCTCGGCAATTGGAATGACCGACCACACAACCGCACAGTCCGGTTTATTGGAAAATATTCCTACAGGTGGCTCTAGTTGTAAGTGGGTCGACGCTACAGGTGACTGCACGTGGCTATGGGTGGCAACCTAGCAACTAAAAACATTCCCTGACCAACCTTACTTATCACATCAAACTTCAACTAGTGGTTAGTCCTATGTTATATGAGCTAAGCTTAACTAAGTGTTTATCAGGGCCTCGTGTAGATGCGGTTATCTTGTCAACCTGCATGAATGTATATATCTCACTGGTACTGGCAGAGATGGCACTTGCAGCTGAGGGGGGAAGGTAGTTTGCCCAACTGCTATTGTACAAACAATCTTGATATTATTCTACATGAGACCAAACAAGTTCTGATATTACAACCGATTGACATGCTAATTCTGTGTACACTACACATATCGTTTTTCGCCACAGTAGTTACTTCCACATAACTTAAATAAGTCGCCATTTAATGTCAGCACGGTAGTTTGCCCAACTGCTATTGTACAAACAATTTCAATATTAATCGACATTGGATCAAACAAGTTCTGATATTACAACCGGTTTACATGCTAAATCTGTGTACACTTTAAATATCTCATTTCGCCAACTAGGTCACTTTGACCCACTTTCACATAACTTAAATAAGTCACGATGATTTAAATTTAATGCCAATCACCTACACTTTCATAGCTACGATACTCCTACCCTAGTATAACTATCACCGTACACTCCCACAACAACCAAATTACATCATATAGCTAAGCCCACACAGTTACCACATTACACCCCCACAGCTACCACATTACACCCCCACAGCTACCACATTACACC